GCATGGGTAAAATTTAAACTAACTCCCCTACAACTACTTGATCTAAATTAAACTATATGATAATATTGAAAAATTTGGCTTAGCCCAAACTAGCTTGTTAGCAGCCCAATCTACTACAAAGTTATATATTTCCTAATTGTTATCCTGACTGTACTGTAAATTTCTACTTTCATCCTTTTACACTTCACAGAATGGTAGTTTAAAAGTTACATAAAAGGGGGATTGCTTCATTATCCAATATAATCACTCATCTCTGCACATTCAAGTTATGATATTATTTCTCAACATAAGAACAGAAATACAGACTTACCAGAGATTTATATTTCTTTTCAAGAAGTCTTAGTACTGCAGTTCTGCTATAATATGCGTGCTAAAAATTAGGAGCAAAATGATATTTATATTCAAGCTATACCATTCAAAATCTATTTTTCCTGCACCATTTCTTTACAATAATATAACTTACACAATAACTGTTTAAATTTTTGTCATCAGTGCAAAAGGTTTTTCATACACAATGAATATGGGCACAGCAATCACAAGAATGCATTTTATATAAAAATGATCATTTACTAACAGGCTAGTAGAAAACATTCTATCCTTCAGCTGTGTCCAGTTACCATGCTAAGTTATTTTAAAACCAAAAACATATCTGACTACCACTGTATGACAGAGACTAAAGGAAAGATTAAGAAGTGGGAGAGGGAGAGGTGGGAATTCACAACTTGCACAATGAAGAGGATACTGTACTATTTACACAAGCAGAAATTTGCCAAGGTTGAATGCTCTGAAGGGACAGTATCTTAATCATTCTCTGTCAATCATATTTTATCAATTATTCAAAACGCCAAAAAAACCTCTCTCCCTAGAGCTAAACATAGATCGAATTAAAATATGCTTTTTATGCATTGCACAAAGCAAGGGGAAAGTTTATATAAGTATTACTAATGTTCAATATAATTAGCCTTCAATGTAGTTTCTTCATTTTACTTAAAAAAATAAATAATATTCTGTAAAAACTATTAGAAACGCAGGGAATAGAAACTAATTAAATGCAGTTTTGGTTAATTGGGGGTTAATCAAAATTCTGTGTTTCAACCCTTGAGGCTTAAAATGTTTTTAAAAAACCAGTCAGCCTTTTTTCAGGTTTGGTAAGAGAAACATGTTGATCTACAATTAAACTGTTGACCATGTTCTGAAAAGAAAACCTCACAGCATATCCCTTAGACCAGGGTCAACACACCACAACCCTCAGGCCAAATTCAGCTGCCATCTGATTTGGTAAATAAGGTCTTATTGTAACAATCACAGCCATTCATTTATATATTATCTATGGATGCTTATGTGCCACAACAGAGAGTTGAGTAGTTGCAACAAAGACAAGACAGCCCACAAAGCCAGAAATATTCACTGCCTGGTCCATTACATTAATGCCAACCATCTGCCTTATTATGAGTGGAAAAGAACATGATAAATTTTTATGAATACTGGACCACACTTGGGGAGCTGATTTAATAATTTTCTATAGGTTAGTTTTCCTATGATGTGTCTCATTCTCTTAAGAATCAGGAGGTGACAATAAAAATGTTAAGGGAAAAAAAGTTAATTATAAACTCTTAGGATAGGCTATGATTTGTTAAAATTTACCTTCTAGGTCTTTTTAAAGCATATAACTATATAAGACAAAAATCTTAAAAGCTGTTATCCCTATGTTATAGAATTAGAGAAATTTAATTTTAATTTTGCTTTTTCATATTTTGCATATTTTCTACAATATGGTGTAATTTGATAGTAAAAAGAAAAGAAAATGGTTAAGTGTTAGATGTGAGGAATAAAAGGTTCGGGTTAAATTACACTGAGCAAGCATTTATCAAACGTAATACCGCACAGGAGAGGTAAGTGCTAAGCACTAAAAATTGTTTTGGTTAATTGGGCATTATATACAGTTTAAATAAAAGGCCAAAAAAAAAGGCCATCAGCTAGATAATGCCAAATTGTGCAAATTGTGCTAAGCAGTAAATGAACACATTACTGCTTTGCATGCCAAGTCACGGCCTCAATCTCTCCCTTCCCCACTGCAATAAATACAGGTTGAGAGGGACAAAGATACAAGAACGCAAGCCAACACGGCTACCACTACCTCCAGACAAAGACCACTCTTATTCAACAGCAGATGAAGGAGGAAACAGTACAAGGCTCTTGTAATAGTTTCAGTTCCAGGACAGTGATGAGCTCCATAAGAAATCACTAGCATTCAGGTAAAAAACACATTTTCCAAACTGCAGGTTCAGGAGGTGGCAAATGAAAAGACGTTTTCAGACATCTAAGCCAGAGAAAAGTGAGCATTGAACCCTTAATGTTCTACTATATCTGCTTAAAAAATTTGTTGTTTTTAAACTAGGACATGATTTTGGATAGGTCATTCAGTTTAATAAATTCAAATGAAGTACCATTTAAAATTCTATTCTGGCTCTGTCACTTACTTGTTACTAAACAATCTTGAGCACGTTACCTCTCTATGCCTCAGCTGCTACACCTGTAAAATGGAGTAATAACACCACCTGTCTCATTGATTGTTGTAAGAATTGAGTTAACACACGTAAAAGTAATTAGATCTCTTAGCATATAGCAAACACTCAAACAGCAGCTATTCTTTGAAACAATAAAGCAATTGCAATGAAAGGTATAAAAACATTCCACATTTTCTTACCATCCACTTTTTGAACCACACAGCCTTGGTATCAACCAATGCAAGAAAGTATATCGGATCCAAAATCTTTTGTGAGACAAGATGGCTCTGATCATGTTTAACTGATAATAAAGACAAAGTACTTTCCACAATTTCTTCCATGTACCTTTAAGTTTGAGAAAGAAGTGATTTTTAGAAAAAAATAAATGCTATTATATATAATACTAGTGATATCTTACATTTATGGAATGATAAAGTAATCTTTAGAAACAACATGTTTTATATTTCAGTAAATGGCAGAAGTGGGATTCACTTCCAATTTTTTTCTGCTCTAAAAACATGTTCTTTCTACTTCAACACTAGCTGTCCAAATTTAACTTTCATTTTTAGATCCACAGTTACTCTTACAATCTTACTAAAAATCTTAGAACTAAAAAGGAAAAGCTTAAGGAACATTTAAGGAACTTGACCAAAGTAGCAAAGACCAGTAATAAAAGAATCTGAGGCTACCACACTCTCTTTTTACTTTGTTGTAATAATTAAATGATATAAAATGATACCTGCACAAAGCTACTCACATAGCTAAGCACAAAACATGGAAAGCTGAAAAATAAACTAGTAATCCTTTCCTGATCACATAAACCAGTTAGGACTGTCTCTGCTCTCTGAAATGTATGTGAACAGTAACACTCCTAATTTTATGTTGGCATAAATTAGGGGGCTTACTTTTCTGGGTGTCGAATCCAGAAACATGGAGCCTCTTTCTGATATTCATTTAGGAGACGAACCTACAGAACAGTATATAACCATTTTCAAAAAGTTAGAATTCTTAAATTTAGAATTATTTAAATAGAAATAAAAGCATATTATAGTAAACGAATACCTTTTTAAGTAAGCGGCTCACATTAGGATTAGTTATATCTATGCCAGTTGAAAGAGTAGGAATATGATTTTCTCTAGAAAGAAAGTATAACTCCAAATATTTAGCTAAAAAGAAAAAGTAAAAATAAGATCATACCATTAAATGCAGTGCGTTCTGGAAAGGTTATTTCCTATCCAATTTTCTTAAGTACAAGTTTTAAAGTTTTTAAAATGATATAAGAAACATACCTAAGCTTGTATAAATTTCTTTGGTCATATATAATGGCGAAAGTGTAAACGTTTGCGCATAGAATTTTAAAATCCGGTCCTATGGAAATGAAACGACATTTGTATCCAAGATTCTCTTAGTTTTATTTTTGTAAGAATCATTTTTCAATTAGTGAAAAACTTAGAAAATAAACACAAAATAGACCATTCAAAAACTTCAGTAGAAATGTAACTATAAAAACAGCACAGTCTTGTGTTGGTCGGCGAAAAGTAAAACTGACTAAAACTAAGAGTCAATCTAATACAGCAGTATATTGTTGTAAAATCCGGTAACAGTAGATACAGACATGGGGGCCACTGGGGTGAGGTTCACTGAAGAAAGGAAAAAT